GAAACATTTCTTGCTCATCTTTGTTTTCCTACTTATATATGCCATTCTACTTTTCACACTGTAAGTCATAATGATCTTCTTCTCCCTCAAAACCACCTAAGATACTGAAATGAAATAATGATCTGATTTAAGTCAATGGCAACTTATTATTTGAATTTCACAAGGTCAAAATTCCACCTTTGTTCTTCGAGATCGCATAATAGCGGTTAATCAAAACTTATTTTTCTACTGCAAAGAATTGATAGTTCATTTAATAAAATGCTTCCTTGCACGTTTTTTTTCATTGAGAATAGTAGCGTTATAAAAAAACCAGATGGCAATCTGATTTTAAAATACTGAAGTTTATTGCTCTTTTGTTTACATGTGTCAGAGAATTAAGTCAGTCTCTGAGTAGACCTCTTTTAGCCCATACAGTAATACAGCACTTTTTGTGGTGCCGTGTGTTTTTCCTACAGTGTCACACAAGTATCAGCTCCAAGACTCTCATTTCTTGCTGAATCTAATGTTTTTAAAATACAACAGTGGACAGAAGTGTTTTATTCTTATACACTTTTGGGTACAAAAGTGGAGATGATACAGAAGGGTTGGAAATCCTTCTTACTCTAGCAAATGATTTCACAACGTATTCACCTGTGCGAATAAGATGTGAACAGAATTGGATGTACATTTCTTCATGTTTAGAAAAGTGAACTTTTTAAAATAATCAATGAATTCCTGTGCAAAATTGATCATAAGAAGCTACATGATTGTTTTTGTACTGTAATAAAAATATGATATATTTAGTTTGGAGTTCTGCTGAAACTTTTTTGTGAATAATAAAGACTTCATTTGCCAAATGCTCCATCAGAGCAATGTCAGATTAAAATTTAAAGTACTCACAGAATCCACTTGAATTTGCTTAGAGCAATCCCTGAAGTTAAATAAAAACCCTTTGAATTTTAAGGAGGCTACAAAAAATTAAGATGACAGAATTTTTTTTTAGTTTATTACTAAAAGTAATAAAATTTGAAGGATCTTACAAAGTAATTACTTCAATGCAAATTCTGCTGTTTCGTTTCTTTTTTTATTAAGTACTTGGTTGATTTCTGTGTACGTTTGTGTCTGAAGCTTTAAAAAGGAAATAATGTATCCATCCATTTGTGTCATGCAGAATAATGCATGCATGATTGTACTATGTCATTTTAATAGACTAAATGATTCATGTTGCATGTCTGTGTCACACTTATTATGGTGTTTCTGTAGGAAATTTGTTGTTTACATAAGGAAATATAACTTTACTTCTGAAGTATTTGTAGTACTTATTAAGCAAATGTCAGAACAGATATATAATTACTGTAAACATTAATGAAATTCTAATGGTTGTGTGATATGCTATTTTTATTGAATTGTAAAAATAACATACAACACCACACACAAAATATCATAAACCGAGTGTGCTAGTTTGAAAATAGCCTAATCTGCACACACAAGTGTTATCATTTACAGATACAGATTAGGAGATCAATTACTTTCC